GAGGGGGAAAGAGGAAAAAGCACCGACAGAGGATTGGCCCGTGATTTGAACACGGTGCCGATTGGCTGCTGCGAGTCGTAGAGGAGCGGGAGGTCGTAATCTGGAGGGCTGATCCAGCGCCCCCGCTACGGGCTCGTATTCCTGTCGACGAGGGAGAGTCGGGCCGGGCAGGGGAGAGGGGGGAGGGGGGAGGTATGACGTGGCATGATGCGCAGGCAAAGTTTATGACGCGACCTTAAAACACAGGCCGTACCACAGCAGTGACGCCATGAGCAGTAGGGGTAGGAGGGGGAGGGGGGGGGGCTGTCCACGAGGAGGGCGCGCGCGGCCTATTGTGCGTGTGGGTGGGCGGGTGGAGAGAGAGGAAGAAAGAGCTTGCGCCATTCAGATTCAGAGGGAACCCGCGCTGGCGCGTGCCCGCAGGCCGCAGGTCCACTTTGTACCTACGGTATACCCTCTGACGAAAAGCAACTGAAAAGTATACAATTATTTCTGTTTCGGATGCATATGTATAGTTATTTCTGTGTAAGTAAATGTTAGGAAAAAATCTCAATTTATTTCTTAGTCACACAAAAAAATGTATGTTAATTTAATTTAGTGAGGAATGGGAGAGGCTATTAGTTGCAAAAGAAAAAGGCGACGGGTATGAGCGTGAGAGAGGACAACGAAGGCGCCCCTAATTTTTCCTAGTTAGCGTTATTTTTTGTTTGTTTGTCTGTGTCCCTCCGGGCCAGATTGGCAGAGCGCCACTCTCAACCTCACGCCCAAGCCCCAGTCCAGAACGTCCGCCCGCTGCCTCTCTCCACAGCTCCCCAGCTCGCAAAAGGATGAGGCGAGGCATGCCTCAAAAAAGTCCGTATGTATAATAATAGTCGTGCTTGAAAAGGGCCTGTTCATTGTGAATTTCATATAGAAAAGAAATAATGCAAATTTAGACGTGATCAAAACCTGCGCAGCAACCTCATTCCGCTTAGAAAGAAAGCCCAACATGGATATTAACAACACTCACCTGGCACCAGCCGCGGCCCGTTGGAGGACAGGTTTCCGGATCCGTATTTGACCTGGCCCCCAGAGGCGTTGGACACGATGGCGATCTCCTCGAGGTCGGAGCCGGCCGAGCCGCCGGGCGCGCCAACGCCACAGCCCGCCGGCGTGCCCGGCCCGGGTCCTCCCCCCGGCCCGGAGCCCGAGCCGGCCCGGTCCACCAGGCGCGTCGAGGAGCCCGCCGTGGAGGCGGCGGCGGGACTCGAACCCTCGCCCCGCCGCCCGGCCAGCGACAAGACGAGCCTCTTGGCGGCGGACATGACGCACTAGGCCCCCTGAGCCCGTCATCGGCCGGCCAGCATCGCTCCGCTCCCCGGCTGCTCAGTGCTCACGCGGCTCACGAGCCCGACGCGACCCCGCGGGCCAGCCGCCCCCGCAGGCTCCGAGCCGCCCCCGAGCAGCCGCGAGCAGCCGCCCCCAGCACGGCGCAGCCCCCAGCCTGCCGCATCCTGCAGAAAAAGAAAACAAAGGGGAACGTTAGAAACATACAAAGATAACAATGCCCACTCCAATACAGTAGTCTCAAAATTGACATGGAACGCATACAGTATGTATCATGAATTAAGTACAAAATGTCAGTCTGATCCCAACTTTCTGAGTTAATAGCAGACTGCGAATCTCATTTTGCCCCCTCCTCAAAAGTTCATCATTGAAACAATTGACTCTTGTCAACCCTTTCCGTTCCTCATCGCTGTTCGGCTGGAGCTGGAGGTGGGTGGCGTCCATTGTGGCCCCGTGCTGCTCGTGGCCCTGGAGCCAGGGAGGGAGGGGGGATAATGATGGAACTTTATGGGCCACAATGATTAAGTTGGAAAGCAGCGGGCCCAGCGGGCCGGGCCGCGAATACAAGCAAACAAAAACAGACTGGTCGATACCCTGCGGCAACTTTGCCATAACCCCTACTTTTTAGCAGATGATACGTTTGACACTGATTTAGACTTCTTGCTCGTCCCATCAACTCCCTCCTAATGTCAGAACCAGGCACTGGTCTGAAATCTGTATCATCTTCTTGCATCCCATCATTGTTGATTCAAACTTTCTTTTCAGCATCATTTTGATTGTTGTTTGCGTTTAACTGTCTTTAGCGAGGGGGTTCGTTACTGGCGGTGTACGTGACCTCTTTGGCTACTCGTCTAGCCGGGGGGCGGTCGTGTTTCCTGTCGGTCTCGTCCTCTTCCCCGTGTAGGGGTGTAGGGTGTAGGGGCCCAGCCCAGCCTATCCTGCGGGATTACTGGAGGGATGTGCGGAGGCCTATACGCCCCTGCCGACCTGCCGGAGCAGGCCGAGCCGAGCTGCCCAGCTACAATCGAGTTGGCCAAGTCGAGGGAGCGGGGAGGGGAGAGGGGACGGCCATCCTGCTACGCAAATTTACATTTGGCGTGGGTCGGGCCTCATCCCCTCCTTTACCCTTCGGACGGGCCGCCGGGGGACGCCTTGCGGATCGAGCCGATGATCAAACGCACGCAATCAAACAACTGTGGACCGAGTGCCGGAAACTTATCTAATTCAAGGACGGTAACTAACTCGTTGGGATTCCGGCACGTCAAGTGAGAGCTGCTGACCCATCAGCAAGCGCAGGGGGGTCTGGCCTGCAGGCAGCCACGCTAGGCAAGCTGGAATCCCTACGGCCGCTTTCGATGCGTAAGTGTTTTTGCACTGGCTCTCAATGGTACCTGCGAAAATGTAGATTTTCAGCATTTTCTTTGCAATATTTTTGGCACTCCTAGAAATTCTGACAACTTTTTTTGGACCCTGGAGTCATGCTACACTATACAACTGATTCGAAAGGAGCCTGAAATTATTTGCTACCAGAAAGTACACAAATGTGCCATTTGTAATTTTACAAGGAAGCATACAACAATAAAAAAAGAAAAATCGCACCGAAATTTTTTCAAGCTACTCTCTTTTCTTCTGCTCTGCTTCTTTTTACCCTGCTCTTTCTTTCTCTCCGCCCGTTTCTAGGTTATCCAGTGACGCTGGCTGTGCACTGCGCTACCAAACAGGTTGGGCAACACAACGTGTTGGCAGCTCCGCTCAGCTCCGCTCAGCTCTGCGCCTCTGCTCAGCTCTACTCTACTCTGCTCAGCTGCGCTGGCAGTGGTTGCAGGAGGTCATTAGTAAAGGGGACAGAGCGTGGCGAGCGTGTTCACGGAGAATTGCACGGCTCGGCTTGGCCCGACCTGCCTGGCACGGCAGTGAACCAGCGCTCGCTCTGCTGCTCGACGCTTTCTTTCTTTTTTTATATAGCCGTAGAGAGTGGGGTGGAGAAGGGAGAACGCGACGACCAACTACTGAGAAGAAGGGAAAAAGACAACATTTCGAAACGCTTTTTCTTCCTTATGAAACTCTATCTTTCGTTGTTTCCTCCTTGTCTCCGTGACCACATCTTTTCCTTCGCTTTTTCCCTGTAACATACAGTAGTTCTCTCCCCTCTCCCTCCAACCGGCTAAAGACCACCAGTCATTTGTCTTCTATCACCCCCTTGCTCGCCCTTGTCGTTTCCCCACCAACCCCATTTCAGTCTCCAGGTGAATGTCCATTTACTTAAAATAAAGAGCGCGCCGCCCGCACCGAGGCCACCACCACCACCACATCGTCACCACCCCGTCCAATCAATCCGTCGCCATCTCCACTTCCGCGCGACCATTTTCTCGTTGATTGTACACCCTTCTCTCTCTCTCTCTCTCTCTCTCTCTCTCTCTCTCTCTCTCTCTCTTTCTCTCTGTCTCTCTCTTGCCGATACCTCACATTTTCCTCTCTGTTTCTCCCCCTCTCTTTCTCATGATCTCCCTTTTCACAGCCCTTGCCTTTGCCTCAACCAAACCTTCTGACGTCAGCAGGCCGTCGCGGGCCACCGCGACTATGGCCATGCCTAACCCTCAGGAGGTGTACAATATTATTATTTTTTTGTAAAAATAAAGTTTCCTAACGCGCATGGCAACACCATTTGTGTTGTGTGAACAGCTGTGTGAAATTAGATAGCGGCCAAGATGGCGTGGTGGGGGTGGGGCAGGGTAAGGGGTGGCTATGTCGAGTTGGGCTCCTTCAGTCGAGCCCCGCGGCCCATTGTCGTTAGGATGTGTTTTTTTTTTGTATTTTTTTTCGCTCTGATTGACTTGCGGTGCCAAAGCTTCTACGTAAGCTGAAATGCCTTTAATCCACGTCACATGCGAGAGGGAGAGGAAAAGAGGAAAAATGCCGCAAGGAAAAGAAGTAAAGAAAAAAAGAATACCGAGCAGAGAAAAAGAAACACTCTGAATCACCCAACGGATTACGGGCCGTAAAAAAGCGACCAAGTGGCTTTTATACGCTCTCGCGGGATGAAACAAAAAAAAAAGCCTGTGAGCGCGGGGGAGAGAGAGAGAGAGAGAGGGCACCATTTCGGTTTATAACCACTTGTATTAAAGGGAAGGCTCTTCCTTAGTCTTGCAAACAAAAAGTGAAACAAAACTTTCGAACCATGTGTACTTTTAACGATATTTTGCTGTTTTCGGGTGGAGGGTGGGGGGTTAGTGATATTTCTATCCAGTCTTTTCAGCAGTCAATAGTGTTGATCAGTATGGACTGCCAAACAGCCGCGCATAGCTGTCGGGCGTCCAGTCACCACTACCGTGCTGCAATCATGGTGACTTGCCTTCCATCACTGACCAAACCACTGATTTTCATTCAGAAAAACAAATCTCATTCGGCGATTGCGCTCGGCTCCACCTCGTTAGCGCCCCGCCCCTCCACGCCCCGCCACGCCCCACCACGCCCGCTCGCATAGTGCGACGATTCAATCGTACTAGGGCCTCGGTCAGTCCGCGGCGATGATCCGATTGGGAACCCGATTTAAAATTACATCATATTGAGGTTCGACCCATCCCTGCCTCTCTGTGCCGTTTTCTATTGTTATTGTTGACGCTTATGTTGTGTTGTTTTTCACCGGCCAATCCGCTGCTGCTGCATCCCGCTCATTTCCCCCGCACACAAACACCTCTCTATCCCCTCTACCTTTTCTCGCTTTTGTTTAATTTATGCTCGCTCTCGCTCGCACGCACGCGGGCGCATGGGGTGGGCGCGCACCCGACCGCGACCGCCGCAAGCTCATCAATGATGGACGCGGTGTGCAGAGTGGTGCACTGCTTGTAGGAGGGCCCCGCCGGCCCGAGCCGAAGGCCCCACGCAACAGGAGCTAGTGCGGCAGCAGGCGGCAGCAACAGATTTTGCCTCTTGTCGCGCCGGTGTTGGCGCGACCGCGGCCGCCGCCTTCCTCCAGGACGACACGCTCTCTGCCCCCGACTGGAGCGAGAGGGCGCGAGAGGTAACGGGGCTGAACGGGAAGGGGGCAGAGGGAGGGCGTCTTTGTAGGCCGTGGTGCGGTTTGGCGAGGTACTGCCCCCTCCGTCCCTGCCGCCGCCGCCTTTAGTTACAGCGGGTGGGGGCGTGGGCCATGGCCTCCAAACTATACCTTAACTTTTCCTTCATAGCTGTAGAGGGCCGATAGCTTTGCCACAGTTTGAAAGAAAAGGGCCGACAAGCGGTAAGCGAAGTCGGCCACTGCAAAAACTATTTCCGCGTACATTTACGACGTGTGAGTACTATGTGTAACTTCGTTATTACAAAACCCACTTCGTAAATTTACGTCTTACTTAAAATTTACGGTTTAAAACTCTTACTCCTACTGTTATTTCGTGTAAGTCACTCTACAAATTACAAAAGCAAATTGGCAGTTTTAATCTGTGTTTCTCATGAAGGGTTTCATGGAGCTGTATCATTAAATTGTTGGCATTTATTTTTGCTCTTGTTGCAGGAGGACCACGCGGATTTTGTGCCCGTCCGATGTGAGCGGCCCGACGGCGAAGAGGTACAAGTTTGCGGAGACGACGCCGACGCGCCCCCGCGCCACGCGGCGCCGCTGACCCCTCCTTCCCGCCCGAACCACCGCCACTACTTGCGGTAATAGAGAGAAAGTTGCGGCACTTTGCCGCGACGAGCGCCCGAGCCGGACGACGCGGGGAGAGCGGCGGAACGGCTGTGCAACAAATGAGCCAAATTGTGTCAGGAAAGAGAAGTTTCGCCGCTCGAGTCCACAAGAGTGAGTGGCGGGAATTCTTTTTTTTCTCCCCGTCCTGCTTTCTTATCAAACCGGCGACGGCGCGGGCGGTGGCGGGGAGCAGGCGCTCGCGACGCGCGGCCGGGCGGCCCGGGGCCTCTGAGCCGTGAAAATTCCATTACTGTTCTTTCCGCTGGCGGAGAGTCTCGATATTATTTTTTGGGCGTCACCGCGAGGCGACCGCCGCACCATTCAGTCCTCTTTCCTCCTCCCATTCGCCGTCGATGCCGCTCCATAATGAAACTTATACCGCGGGTGAAAGGGGAGGGGGGGG